TGGCCTGCACGCTGATTCCAGTGGCCGCAGGAAGGAACCCTGGGGGCCTCTCTGCCTCACGGAACAAGCTCCCCCCTGCTGGGAAATAAGACCAACGTGTGGAGTTGCTCGGCTAACTTGGTGTGTTGGGGTGTCAGGTAGACCTCCAAGGCCGCAGGCAGCCCATGTGTGCGTGCTCCTGTTCCGCAGAGTTCTGTTTAAGAAGCCCAGGCGTGGCTCTTCCTCAGTCTCAGGTGTTTCCCAGCGCTCTTGAGCACCTGTGTTCGTATTTTTCACCCACTAGGGGAAGCTGCATGACCCTCAGCTCATGGGGATCATCCCCAGGATCGCACACGACATCTTCGACCATATCTACTCCATGGATGAAAACCTGGAGTTTCACATCAAGGTAAGTGCCATTGATTGAGACTTGAGAGAAGAAATAGGGCCCAAAATGACAGATTCTTAGCTTGCCTCTTATTTTGTACACGTGAACAAGATGATCTTATCTAATTTAAATGACATTCCTGTGGTAAGCAGAGCCATATTTTTTCTTTAATGATTAAGGACGTGGAGGATATTTCGTTTCCCAGCTTGACGGGCATATTTTTCCTCCCTTGGAGTCTGACGGATGGTGTTTTGGGAAGTGCGCTCTGAGAACTGTTGGGGGAGGGCCTTCTCTTCCTCCTCATTTTTTCGTGTGTGTGTGTGTGTGTGTGTGTGTGTGTGTGTGTGTGTGTGTTTATGTGTGCTCGCGCACGTGAGTGTGTGTATCTGTGTGTGTGCATGCGTGCATGTGTGTGCGTGCGTGTCAGTGTGTGTTTGTGTGTGTGTGTGCATTTAAACTGGAACCTATCCTTTTGCTTAAATTCATAATGTTTGGTATTTGAAGTATATTCATCAGAACTTCTTTATTTGCAAGTGACCGAAAGCCACTTGTTTAAGCAAATAGAGGAGGTTGTTCTAAGACAGAGAATCTGATAGCAGGCCTGGGGGAAAGGGGTTGTGGAAAAGCAAGAAATCTAGGTCCTACTTTTTTCTTTTTAACTTAAAAAAATTGAGTTATAATTCACATACCATAAAATTCGCCCTTTTAAAGTATACAGTTTGATGGTTTTTAGTCTCTTTCCAAAACTGTATAACAATGATTACTGTCTAAGTTGGAAACTTTTTCATCAACCCCCAAAGAAACTCCATATCCCTACAGTCCTAGCATTTCTTCTGTCTTGCTTTCTTTTTTGGGGGGGTGCACTCCGTTACAGTCCTAGCGTTTCTTCTGCCTTGCTTTCTTTTTGGGGCGTGCACCATGGCAGCTCCTGTTCCACATTCTCTTATCGCTAATTCCTAATTCCCCGAGAAGCTGGCGCACTGGCCCGGCCTGCAGTAGGCGATCCCCCAGCTCCGATTCGCTGTGTCCTGGAGGCACGTGGCTGGCTGGCCCTCACCATGGTGACTGGGGACAGGGTGGATGGGGTGGCGAGGGTAAAGGGCAGTGCTAAGAAGATGTGGAGCTGAGCAGACCAGTCAAGCGGCTGATCATCTTTGAAGGGTGGGAGCTTTGTCCCCTAGGTCCACCATTGTAGAGACGAGGAAACGGAAGTTCAAAGCTGTAGATCCAGATACCCAAAGTTACAAATCTAGCCATTGTCAGAGTTGAGATTAAACTCTTGATCCGACCAGCACATGCGGTATCTTTTTCATGAAATTAAACTTCTACCCTTCTTATATTTGCCAAGTACCTTTCCTAAATTATGTAGAAACAAGGCAATAACTGTTTGCCTAATTATAAATTGCATCTGGCAAATCTTTTCCCTTAGAGTCCTTTGTTGGCTAAAGCAGCTTCTTGCCTGGGTTCTTTATATCTAAGGATACAGACGCTTGTTGCTTTGATGGGATCAAGATTTAGGAGCTTAGTGCATCTTTAAGGCTGTTTGCATTTAAATACCTCTGACTGCTATAGGGTTCTTATGGGATAATCCTGGAATAAGGTGCTAAACCAATGACTGCCTTCAAAATAGGGTCTCCTAATAGAATCTTATTAATATAAAAACAGCCCTGGCAGGAAGGGGGAGGAGGGGAGGGGCAATACTCATCTCTAGGGCTGAATTTCACTGCCTAGGTTCCTGTTCTGGGTCTGTAGTTATGCTTACTTATTTCATAAATAATATTTGTTAAGTGGGCAAGTTAGCTATGGACTGCTTCATATTTTGAACAGAGTAGTGAGAGGCCTAATCAAGCAAAAGAGGCTTGATTAAGGCAATATTGAAAATCTGTTCCTTAAAGTAGGTCCCACAGAGGTTTTAAACATTTCTGAATATACTTTTTATTAATGCCAAACAGTGCCTGTTTATTTTTCTTTTACCTGGCCTCACAAAGTATTTGAAGTGACAAAAATAGCAAAATTAACCCCCTTCCCCACAAAAAGAAGCCAGACTCTGCTGTGGTAAAAATAAATAAATAAATCAGAATTCTCTTTTTACTTATATGAAATGTGGACAGGATTCTAATGGCCAGATTTGCTAGTATCTAGTTCAATGACTGCTTTTTAGATGTACTTAATTTTCTCTATAATCTATGGAAATAAGGGCACATGTTTAAGGTCTCAAAGATAACAGAAACATCTTATTGAAAATCAGACAATTCTGGAGACTACATAGACTGGGTTGGAGCCAGGGTTGAGTTAGCTGCAGGAAAGGCTGGGTTAGGGAGAGATGTCTAAGATTAGAGGCCAAACGGATCCATAGGATTACAGGAATGGGACCAGTGGGTCTTTCGAAGGTTAGGTAAGTGTATCCATGGCAGACAAGGCTCAGCGACAGGGGAGTTTGAGACATTTGAGCTGGCAGAGGTTGTTAGGGAGACAGAGGGTACCCAGCTACAGATCCCAGGGTTTGAAGCCAGGACCCCAGATCTCAGAGACATGAAGAAGTCAGGAGGTTCCAGGCTGAGATGCAAACAAAAGATAATGAACCAGGGCTGAATTGGGTTAAGACCAGTGCCAGGTTACAGAGTCTTTGCTTGCTGCCCCCACTAGAGGCAAAATGGATCCAGAGCTGGGATGTGGGGTGAGATTTCACCTGTAGAGTCCCATCCCAACTTTACAGCTATCTTTTTCAACTTTATTATTATTATTTTTAAAATAACTTTTTGTCCATTCCTTTGTTTAGATTTCCCCAAACACCCATGAACAAAGGAAAGAAAATTTGATCTGAGAGGCAGAAGGCAAATGTAGGCAGAATAGAAAATCCTAGAGGGACTTTTTGACATCATCAAGTCTAATGCCTTCATTTAATAGATGGGAAAATCGAGGCTTAGGATCTTGGTTACATATGAATTAAATTTTTAAGATCACACCTTGTTAAAGTTGTTCTCAGACTTTAGCTTTCCTATGAATCACCTAGGGATTCGAGAAGCCGATTCCTAGGTCCCATCCTTGGAAATTCTGCTCCAGGAGAGCTGCCGTCGGGTTCAGGGCTCTGCAATTTAAACTACTGCTGTGGGAGATGCTGATGTAGGTGGAGCTGTTGTGAGGTTTGAGAATTATTAACTGGAAGGCTTGCTTTCCCTCTTTCGGCCTTTTATGAAATTATATTTTGTGTTCAAATCCTTCCTGGACTCAAACCTGCCACCATCATGATTTCTCTCCCAGTTACTTTTCTGGGCTCTTGTAGTTCTAAGCCTTTACCCCTCTCCCCACTTCCTTAAACGTTTGGGCCATGCTCCCACCCTGGTCTGATGAGGCTCTCAATATCATGCATGAGGTAAGGCCTACTGGTTTTTGATAATTACTTGCAAAGAATGTTTCCATTCCAGCTGTTGTCATACCCAGAAGTTTGCTTGGTGCTCATCTAAGGTAAAAGCTAGAGTCCTCCTGTACGTGACTGTCTAGCACATGATGTAAATAACACCTGAATAGAACCATAGGGAGCTGTGGTGAGGGGGACTCAGAGAACAGGCTGACAGTGGGAAGCAGGGGATACAGGAGTGCGAGCTGGAGCTCTGCACGCTAGGGCTCCGAATCTTCACTCTCGACCCCTTCTTCTTACTCCTTAGCTAATGCATGAAAAAAGCTTTTGTAAGTTCCAGTAAAATTATTTTTGTAATATAGTGTAACATTTCTGTTTCAAACTTAATTTGCTTTTAACAGGTTTCCTATTTCGAGATCTACTTGGACAAAATCAGGGACTTACTCGATGGTAAGTAGCCTGAATGCTTTTCCTTTATTTGTTCTATACCTGAAATCCAGGAAGGTTGGACTGATGTATAGCACTTCTGCTTAAGGACTTAATGAAAGTGTATAGAGATGTTCTCTTGCCTTCAGGCTATATGCTTATTCTTGCCAAGGTTTAAACTTGCATAAATATTGCTAAGAGGTTGCCTATCTTTTGTAACAATTTCTATTTTTCCTCCAATGCATAGTCTTTAACTTTGCTTTTCTTCTTTGCATGTCATCATTATTATCTCTATAGTGTCCAAGACAAACTTGGCTGTTCATGAAGATAAAAACAGAGTCCCGTATGTAAAGGTATGAGGAAAACTTGGTTGCTGATACAATTAATTTCTCTCCAGTCACTGTCATAATAATTAGTACATAGGATGCCCAGAGTATTATGTATATAAATCACATACAGATATTTAATCATGCTCCTTATATTTAAAATTCACCTGGTTAAAAAAAATAGACATTTAATTTTTTCAATCATATCTCTCTATGTGAATGTATCACAGATGTATAATTCCATGCTGAGACTTGCAGAAGTGAACAGACATTTATTATTCACATTTAAAGGGGATTTGGTACTGAGTACAACTGTTTATACTTTGTTGTTAGGGGAAGCCTATTATAGCATTATGTCTAGCACTTCAAAGTGTCTAATTAAAGTTGGTGGCTAGATGGTAATAAATAAAGATGGAAGACAAAGTAAAACTTCATCTATTTCTTTTTGTCATTGCTTTTCTTCTTTATTTCTGTCTTACTGCTGCTGAGTTTGAATATGTATTCAAAAATGTAGGGAAATTCGGCATTTCTTTTCTGGTTTATTTCTGGGTGTCCTAGGGGTTGCTCAGCCTTCTTTTTTAATGTAGAATTCAAGCCTTAGGCACGGGGGGAAGTTGTTGGATCAACATTGCAGTCTTTCTCTTGATCTGCACATCTAGAGGAGAAATGGGAATATATTTAGCTGTTTCAAAGTATTGTTGCTTTTCAATTTTTTAACAGCAAACCTGAACTTCACTGTCTTGCAGGGGTGCACCGAGCGGTTTGTGTCCAGCCCGGAGGAAGTCATGGATGTGATAGATGAAGGCAAGGCAAACCGACATGTGGCTGTAACAAGTAAGCATGGGGTGGCGTTTCCTCCCCTCTAACTTCGGATACAAATGTCTGCCTACCCACCAGGAGGGCTGGGTAATGAGGTCCACATGAAATAACGCATCGGAAGGTGCTCGAAAGCTGTGACTCAGACACAAACACGGGATGTGCCGAGTACCTAGGCAGGTTGTGGGAAACAGCGCCTCCTGCTGTCCAGGGAACTCTTGGAAATACTGGGTGGGACTCATTGGAACCTGGTAACAGCCGAGGCTGGAACCCTGGGGAAAACAACCTACCAACCAACCAGCCTACCAAAGTGGGGAAAAAGTAAGCTTCTAAGTTTACCATGTTATTGTTCAGGCATTTAAAAAAAACCCAAACCAATAAATTCTGCAGTCATACACATGGAAAGACACCATATTAGAGTTCTGCCCTCTGCATAACAGGAAAAGGAAGGAGGAACTCCGAAAGTGGAGCTGAGAGCATTGTTGAAAACTTATCCATGGGTGTTAGCAACACATTCAGGCCAGTGTGCTTACTTTCCAGTTCCTTCCTCGCACGTGCACACATCTCAGGGAAGCAGGTCATACAGTGTTCGAACGCCAGAGGTTCCATGAAAAATGGGGCTGTCTGTCTTATTCAGAGGCATGTGGATGAATGAGATTGACTTCATGTGAAGAAGAGCTGAAAAAGCTAAGGCTTTCTAGCTTGGGAGAGAGAAATAAATCTGGGGAGGACATGTGGACAGTGCAGTATTTCTCAGCACGTTCAAGGTGCTGGCATTAGGAAGGAGTGAGCTTGCTTTGTTTGATCTGAATGCACAGACCACCCAGGATTGTTGAAGCTGCAGGGAGGCAGATTTTGGCTTACACAGGAGCTCTCTAGCCCTACCCCAGTTAACGCCTGCCGCCTGGAGAAGGAGTGAGTTCACTGCATGTTGTAGGAGAGAGTCGAGTGCTGGTTGGTTGACTGGCCTGGCCTCTTTAAGTATCTCCCACCCAAGGTTCTATAATGCAGCACTGTAATTCTCAACCTATTCCCTACCCCAACAAATGTATCAGATGATGTTTATATATGAAGCATATTTCATAGGTGAGTCTAGACTTGTGTAGAGTGTAGGTTAAACTCTACTTCTTTCTCTCCTGCTTAAAACACACACACTAACACTAACACTGATACACATACATGAAAGAATGTAAGACTCATATTCTTATAGCATCTCTCATTTATAAAGAAATGATTTACTTGAGTTTTTAAAGCTATTGTTAGTCATGAATTACTTATGGTATAACTAACAAGCCATCTTGGCCCCTTGGTTCAGAACTTTTGGCCCAGAACATTACTATTTTTCTTATCATTCTGGTAAGGTTGTTTTAAAACTTATTGTGGTAAAATACACATAACATAAAATTTACCATTGTAACATTTTAAATGTACAATTTAAAATGTACAGTCACAATGTTGTGCAGCCATCACCACTATTTATAGAACTTTGAAACTCCATACACCCGTTGAATAATAACTTCCTATACTCTCTCCTCCCAACCCCTGATAACCACCATTCTACTTTGTCTCAATGAATTTGACAACTCTAGGTACCTCTTATAAGTGGAATGATACAAACTCTTTTATAACTTGCTTATTTCACTTAGCATAATATCTTCAAGATTCATTCATGTTGTAGCATGTTTTAGAATTTTTTTCTCTTTAAGTCTGAATAATTTTTCTTTTTAAGGCATGTATATACCATATTTTATTTATCTATTCATCCAAAGATGGACACTTGTATTGCTTCCATCTTTTGGCTGTTGTGAATAATGCTGCTATGAACATGGGTGTATAAATACCTGTCCAAGTTTCTGCTTTCAGTTCTTTTGGGGATATACCCAGAAGTGGAATTGATGAATCATATGGTAATTCTACTTTTAATTTTTGAAGAAACTGCCATACTGTTTCTATAGCAGCTGCACCATTTGCATTCACACCAACAGTGCACAAGAGTTTCAATTTCTCCACATCTTTGCTAACACTTATTTTCTTAATCCCTTCCTCCTTTCCTTTCGCCATCCTAATGGATGTCAAGTGGTATCTCATTGTGGCTTTGATTTGCAATTCCTTTATGATTAGTGATGTTGAACATCTTTTCATGTGGTTATTGGCCATTTGCACATGTTTGGAGAAATGTCTATTCCAGTCCTTTGCCCATTTTTAAACTGAGTTGTTTGTTTTGTTATTGTTGATTTATAAGAGCTTTTTATATATTGTGGATATCAATCCTTCATCAGATATATGATTTGCAAATATTTTCTCTCATTCTGTGGGTTGCCTTTTTACTCCATTGCTAGTGTCCTTTGATGCATAAAAGTTTTTAATATTGATGAAGTCCAATTCATTTTTTCTTTCGTTGCTTGTGTTTTTGTTGTCGGATCCAAGAAATCATTGCCTACCAGTGTCATGAAGCTTTCCTCCTATGTTTTCTTCTAAGGTTTTATAGTTTTAGCTTTTATGTTTGGGTCTTTGATCCTTTTTGACTTAATTTTTGTGTGACCTAAGGTAAGAGTCCAATTTTTTTTTTTTTTTTTGCATGTGGATATCCAGTTTTCCCAACACCATTTGGTAAAGAGATTGTCCTTTCCCCATTGAACTGTCTTGACACTCTTGTTGAAAATTATTTGTATTATGTGAAGGTTTATTTCTGGGCTCTCTATCTTATTCCATTGGTTTATATGTCTGTCTTTATGCCAACACCACACTGTTTTGATTACTGTAGTTTTGTAGTAAGTTTTGAAATTAGTAAGTATGAGACCTCCAGCTGTGTTCCTTTTCAAGATTGTTTTGGCTCTTCAGGGTACCTTGAGATTCCATATGAATTAAGATGGATTTTTCTATTTCTACAGAAAGCATCATTGAGATTTTGATAGAGATTACATTGAATTTGTAGGTCACTTTTGATAGTATTGACAGCTTAATCTTAAGTCTTCTAATCCATGAACACAAATGTTTTTTCATTTATTTGTGTCTTTAATTTCTTTTAGCAACATTTTGTAGTTTTCAGTATACAAGTCTTTTGCTTCCTTGGTTAAGTTTGTTCCTAAATATTTTTTAAAATTGCTATTATAAATAGAATTCTTAAAAAATTTTTTTCAGAATGCTCATTAGTATGTAGAAATGCAATTTACTTTTATTTTTTTTGTTTTTTTATTTTTTTATTATTATTATTTAATATATCTTTATTTATTTCAGAGAGAGGAAAGGAGAGGGAGAGAGAGAGATAGAAACATCAATGATGAGAGAGTCATTGATCGAGCCCGCAACCCGGGCACGTGCCCTGACCGGGAATCGGACCCCGATCGCCTAGATCCTAGGTCGATGCTCAGCCGCTGAGCCATGCCGGGCTGGGCCAATTTACTTTTAAAATATATATCTCTTTATTGATTTCAGAGAGAGGAAGGGAGAGTGAGAGTGAGATAGAAACATCAATGATGAGAGAGTCATTGATTGGTTGCCTCCTGCAACCTGGGCATGTGCCCTGACTGGGAATCGAACCTCTACCACCTGGATCATAGGTTGATGCCCAACCACTGAGCCACGCAGGCGGGGTGGAATGCAATTTACTTTTATGTGTTGCCTTTGTATCCTGCTACTTTGCTGAATTTGTTTATTCTTACTTTTTTTTGTATGTGTGGAATCTTCAGGGTTTTTTTCATATAATGTGGTAAGAGGGTTTTAAGAAATGATTGCTAGTGGGGGTTGCATAAGACAGTTTCTGGGGTTTCTGCCTGCCTGGTGAACAGAGACCAGGATCCAAAAAGTTTTTTATTTCCAGTACTCGGTCCTAATAAAGCATGTTTAATCTTTGAGACCTTCCATGCACCTAGCATGGATTATAGAAGAGGTGTATGTCTTAATCCATAATACTTCCTAAAGAAAGTCTATGACATTACTGATAAGGCAACGCCATAAATGAAGAAGATGGAATATGTCAGGTACTAATCATGATGATAAAGGCCAAGGGTCTTAAAGTGAGGCAGGGAAGGAAACTGTGAGCTCTTCCAGGAGAGTCAGCTCGTGTGGGATGTTGGAGGGTGGGTCTTCTTTAGGCAGAAGTAGAGAATCTGTTATCTTAAACCATCAGCTAAGATTTTAATTTCTTTGTCACTTGAAGATATTTAAAATCTTTCATTTCTAGGATGTCATTTTTAAGAAGAAATCGCGGTCTCAGATAATTTTAAAAATTGGCTTGACTTTAAAAAATGGGGCTTTTAGGCATGATTTGTTATGCTTTTTAGATGAAAAGCTTGCTACCCAAATTTATGTGTGCTTTGTAGAGCAGTAACTATTTTCCTTTTCAGACATGAATGAACACAGCTCTAGAAGTCACAGTATCTTCCTGATTAATATTAAACAAGAGAATGTAGAGACGGAAAAAAAACTCAGTGGGAAGCTTTATCTGGTTGATTTGGCTGGGAGCGAAAAGGTAATTGGTTCTTTATTTGTATTAGCTATAATTTCCCCCTGTTATTTGCTTCACTGTGCAATGGTATAATTTTTATGCCTTTCTATTTCCTGGTTTTAAAGAGCTTTTAAAGTTTCTGATGTTGTGCCAAGATGTTATTAAAGTTAACCTTTGTTTCCCTGCACCTTCTCTTCTGGTCCTGAAGTCCCTTATTCATGTCACAGGGGGTGCTTTGAATGCCAGCCCTGATTGATGCCTAAGAGCTCTGATGATGACATTAGGCCAGTGTTGGAGTGAACTTAGCTTGGCAAAGGCAGCTTCTCAAAGGCGGGAGGGACATGCACTCCTGAGAAAAGGGAAGAGCCCATGTTGTTCCAGGCTCAGACAGGCCAGGAAAGGGCGTTGCGTTGGACTGTGGCAGCTCTGGCCCTGCGGGTGGGGTGTGTCTGCTGATGGGAGGTCTGGAACCTGGGGCTCTCCCTGCCTGCCCTGCTCTCTCTGCCGTAGGCGTGGAGACAGTGTCTCAAGTGGGCAGCCTCACTTCTTCCCTTCAGGCTATGAGGCCTGCAGCCAGTGCTTTAGCCGCGAGCCCCAGCCCTTCTCTGCTTTTGTCACGGCTCTCATCGGGCAGCTGTATTCTGTCCCTGCTCTCCCAGGTACCGGCTGAGGCCATACCTGTCCAAGCTCTGCCAAGCACAGGCTGAGGTCGTACTCCAGAGATCACATAGGTTTCCCAGAACCTCCCACCTGCCCCTCCAGCCTCACTTTCATGACACCACCCGAAGCGCCTGCTGCCGCACCCTGGCCAGAGGACTGTGCCCCCCTTGGGCAACATCACAGAGCAAGTCCCATGTGCACAGCACCATCTGGCCTGTCCATCACACTGCCTGTCCCCATCAGGGCTAGTCCTGGAGCTCAGTCAGTCCCCTGAGCTGTGCATTTGGTCCCCATTTAACTGCACCCCATTACAGAGTTGCCAAACACCACAGTATGGCCACTAATATCCCTGTAAGCGATAGCTACTTGGATTGTTCTTCTGTGCACATGTGTAAAGCCATGAGCAGGAAAACATCTGGATATTCCTGGTTGGAAATCTAAAATTTTACTGGCATGGGTTTGTCAATTTAGACAGACACCCACGAGAATGGGAATACGGAGCAGCACTGCTTAGTTCCAGACTAACCACTGGCAGGCAGGATCCACTTTGCCGCCACACCAACTGTATGGGTCCCGACAAGGAACCCAGTCCCCCCC